ATCGCAACTGGCAAAGTCGCTCTCAAATCCCAAGCACCCGTTCCATCACTTCTCGACAGGCAACCTGCAGACCCTGAGGGACGAGCCCGAGAAGAAAGGTGTCAAGATTCGTGATGAGTTCATTCGTTTCTATGAACAGCATTACTCTGCAAACAGAATGAAGCTCGTCGTGTTGGGTCGCGAATCCCTTGATGAACTGGAAAGCTGGGTAGTGGAGCTTTTCTCCGAAGTCAAGAACAAAAACTTGCCTGAAAACCGCTGGGATGATGTTGAGGTCCTGAGCAAAGATCAGTTATCCATCGAGATCTATGCAAAGCCGGTCATGGAGTCACGCTCTTTGGAGATAAGTTTCCCTTGGCAAGACGAGGAGGATATGTTCGAGACACAGCCTGCTCGATACATCAGTCACTTGATCGGCCACGAAGGCCCTGGCAGCATCTTGGCTTATCTCAAAGACAGAGGTCTGGCTCAAACCCTGTCTGCTGGCTACCATCCTGTGTGCCCAGGATCCGCTTTCTTCGAGATCGACATCGGATTGACGCCTGATGGGCTGAAAAACTATCACGAGGTTGTCAAGATTGTTTTCCGGTACATTGGGATGATGAAAGCGACGCCCCCGGTTGCCTGGATGCACGAGGAGATGAAGAATATGGCGGAAGTGGATTTCAGGTTTCGTCAGAAGTCTCCTGCAAGCCGATTTACGAGCGCCATCAGCTGCGTGTTGCAGAAGCCTGGTTTGCCCCGCAACTGGCTGCTCAGCAGCACCAGCAAGTTCAGAAAGTTCGATGCTCAAGCCATTGCGCAAGCTATGCAATATCTCCGCGAAGACAACTTCAGGCTTATGATAGTGTCTCAGGAGTACCCTGGTAGCTGGGATCAGAAAGAAAAGTGGTATGGGACCGAGTACAAAGTGGAGAGAATACCGACCGACGTGCTGTCAGACGTTCGAAAAGCTTTGACTGATCCCGAAACTGGCGCAATAGCGGAACTCCATCTCCCACACAAGAATGAATTCATTCCTACCAAGTTGGACGTGGAGAAGGCGGACGTCAAAGTACCTGCAAAGGCGCCAAAGTTGCTTCGAAATGACGACAAGGTCCGCCTATGGTGGAAAAAAGATGATACCTTTTGGGTGCCGAAGGCCAATTTGCACATCAAGATTCGAAACACCGTTACCTCTGCAAACACTGCCAATTACGTCAAGACAAATCTCTTCATCAACCTCGTCAAGGATGCTTTGTCGAGCTACTCTTATGACGCCGAGATATCTGGCCTCGCCTACGCGATCGGGCCAAACATGCTTGGCTTTGATATTCACGTCCATGGCTACAACGACAAGATGGCTGTCCTCTTAGAGAAAATCTTGACGACGATCCGGGAGATTGAGATCCGAACCGATCGATTCGAAATCATCAAAGAACGTATGGCCAGGAAATATAAGAACTGGGCATATCAGCAGCCGTACTATCAGATCGGAGACTACACCAGATGGTTATTGAATGAACGGTCTTGGATGAACGACGCCTATGCAAAAGAACTTCCGCACATCACGGTAGACGACATTAGAACGTTTGTTCCAGAACTCCTCCAGCAGGCACATTTCGAAGTGCTGGTACATGGGAACTTGTATAAAGAAGAAGCCAAGAAAATCGGCAACCTCATCGAGACAACGTTGAAATCACGCGCTTTTCCTCCTTCGGACTGGTTATTGCGAAGGAATGTCATCATCCCGGAAGGAAGCAACTTCGTTTACAAACAAGCGTTGGGCGATCCCGATAATATCAACCATGCGATCGAATATTATCTGGACATCGGCCATGTTATGGACCTAGACCTGCGAGCTAAAGCACAGCTGTTCAGCCAGATGACGGATGAACCCGCGTTCGATCAGTTGAGGACTAAAGAACAACTTGGATACGTCGTATGGAGCGGGACCCGTCCTGCAGCGGCCACGATGGGCTACAGAGTGCTAATTCAAAGCGAACGGGACCCAGACTATCTCGAAACCCGGATCAATGCCTTTTTACTCAAATTCAAATCAGATCTTGAGTCGATGTCAAATGAAGAGTTCGAGGGCCACAAACGAAGCCTTGTCAACAAACGATTGGAGAAGCTCAAAAATCTCGACTTCGAGACCGGCCGGTTGTGGGCGTACATCAGCGGTGAATATCTCAACTTCTACCAAGTGGATAGAGATGTCGCCGTCATCCGACAGCTCACCAAGGATGATATGAAACAGTTTTATGCTCAGTATATCGATCCAGAGTCCCCGAAGCGAAGAAAGCTTTCAATTCATCTCGAGGCTCAAGCCACAAGCTCGGTGCCAGAGATTTCGCCTGCCGAACAAAAGGATCAGTTTGTGGGGCTCCTTGAACAAATGCTTAGATCTCTGGGTGTCGAGGTTGACGAAGGAAGATTGAAGGCTCAATTCGAGAAGGTTGACCTTTCAAACCTGGCCTCGGTCTCGAATGCGATCAACGAATACCTTGGAAAGTCGGCACCCGCCTCGAAGAACGGTGAAGTCCTCGAAAAGATAAAAGAAGCTATCCCACAAATGCAGATTGCGCTCAAGATCAAGCCAGTGGAGTCGGCCAACAACGTCGTTGAGGTGGCCGCACAAATCCCACCCCCCGTCATAATTAAAGATGTGGCAATGTGGAGAGCCGGCCTGGAAGTCAGCAAGGGACCTGTCCCAGTTGAAGATCTGCAAAGTTTCGAGGACCTTGAGTCCAAACTGTGAGGTTGAAGGAGATTCCAACGTTGCCTTTGCGACAAGGTGAGTAAAAACGGCACGCCGCTCCACCCCCATTTGGCCAAGGGTGATGCCGCCCTGCGCTCACCCCCTGCTCGCGTTCGCAAGGGTGAGCCAGGGTGAGGGCTACCCGTGGCTCACCCTTCGAGGGGCTGGAGCACTGGGGGCCGCAGCGATAAAGGGATCATCGCACCTGTATCTAAGAAAATAGACGGACGCAGCCGCCTGTGGTTAGTGTGTTGGACTCGCCTTACGCCGGTCTCATCTTGCGTTTGGGCGAGGCCCGTGAAGTCAAAAGCGGCGTTTTCATTGTTGCGTTACGAGACTAGAGTTAAATGTAGGGACGCTCCTGGAGTGCCTGGGTGCATAAAGAGGACGACAACAAACTGTGTTCCCTGCTCGTAGTAGAAGCAAGGACCCGAATAGATACATGGGGAAGCCAACTTGTCGCCTCTTTCATTCGCTATGACACCATCACCACCCGCGACCTCCACCACGAGTCTCATAACGATCTTCTACGACCTAGGGAAACACCTTCCCTCTCCCGCCATTACTCCTCTCGATCTGTAACGCCTACCGGGACGACATCTATCCTTCCTCGCCCTGCATTGCCCTCTACCTTCCGTCAGCTTCCCGCCTGATCTTTAGGGTACCATGTCAACAATTCTCACTTGGCCAAGTATAGCTACATCTGCTACACGAAAGATACTGCGAACCTGGTCGCGCTTGGAACCAGATCAAAGTACAGGCCGCGATCAAACCTAGCTCAAGCCTATGCCGACGCCTTCCCGGAGCTCTCAGTCGCCATCATCACCTGCTACAACGCTCAATGCCTGCCTCTTCTCGGCATGCGTGATTGTATGGTTTGGAAGAATAACTCGTACCAGCGAATCGTCATTGTCAAGGCAGACTCGGCACAAGGCATGGAGATTATCCAGGCAGCAACATCCACCCACACCGTGCTTCGATCACTAAGGCAATCACTCTCATGAGCAACAAGCAAGGCGAAGACCAAGAGGTCCAAGATATACTAACCGGCAGTGACCCCCCCCCCCCCTTCAACAACAAAATCATTATCGGTGTGAAGTACGGCGACAACGAGGTGATCTCTAACGACTATAGCCTTCCTGATCCCCTGAAAGCCCTCACCGATTTCCGCATAAGAAACGCACTCTATTTTTTGCCATTGTTCGAAACTTGCAGTCCACAAGCGACCTCCAGGTATGACAGCATCTGCGTAAACTCAGAGAGTCATCTTCAGACCTCTCAGAACGATAGACTGATGGGAGTAGCGCAAACTTTAGATAGGTCTCAATGGCCAGAGACCCGCGGTGTTTTCCTTAACACCCCGAGAGCCGCCAAGTGGCTCGAAATGCTGTAGATTGGATGTTTCGGGTGATCGGAAAGCTATTCGACCGCCAGGAATATACCAACATCACGAGGCTTCACGGGAGTGAGGATTTTGAGTGAATTATTGCGACAACATACATATATATATATAGCACACAGCACAATACCCGCAAGTCATGGACCAAAAGGTCTAGTTTGGTTTGTGAGAGTGAGGTATTCACAAAACTGGGGCAGCCCCCGGTGGCCAGTGTGCACGATAGCTCCACACAGTTACAGTGCAGCTAGTTAGACCCCGTTTCAATATAACTCTAGTTAAACTACTTGATAGCCTGATTTTTAGATCAGGATCTCATCGCCAAGTCAGTTCCAGCGGTGGCACACTTGCGAACTGTGTGCCGTCCACCTTCGTTGTAAGCGGCGTGTAGACACAAATAAGGGGAAATTGTTGTGATTCTCGTTAGATAGTCTACTACATATAGAATGAGGACCATGGACAGATTCCAGCCCGTATATCCACGTGTTCTAAACCCGATTTAAACGGGTCGATTTGACTAACCCCGTCTGGAACCAATCACGATATTTGCCAGCGAAGCTACCCCACAAGGGTCCACAATCAAGCTCGCTTCCAGATTTGTACATACAACAAGATAGGGCATTATGCCCAAGCACTCCGCGGACTGAAGATTGGGCTCACAAGGTTCGCGTCGGGTCAGACCGATCTCGCACTGGAGCTTTTGTGCTGGCAACGATTCTACGGTGTTTCATCGAGGTAACGAACTGACTGGTCAACCACGATGGTGCTTGCTTGCTTCTAACCCGTCACTACTAGGGCATCAGAGGCGATACAGAGCGAAACTCGTTTCACCACCTCAGTGCGGCCCGACAGCTCTTCCCCGTCATGTTGGCCAACACAGAGCAGTTGGTCAGTTGTCGTGAGATGGTATTGTTTGTGACAGAGTGCTATGCCTACGTGTTGACGCTGTCATCCTTTACGTCCAAGACCTCTGTTGTCGACGACGCTCGAGTAATATTTGATGCCCTGTCGCGGCTCAAGACCCCGAGGACGGCGCCCTTTTTCGGCTGCGCCGGGGAATTATTTGCTCTGATACCGTCGGCAGCTGCCGCAATCCGATATCTCGACCATGAGCCTCGTACGAATGAGCAGACGCAACAAGACGATCCGTCATTGACGACCAACCTCCGCTCCCGAGTACTGTGGTGGACCCCAGCATCGATCTGTTGAAGGGTATCAGCCCTCAACGCATGGCAATTGCGGGCGACTCGGCCGGCGGCAATCTCACCCGGGCGAGCATGTTTGTCGCCAGGGAATCCGGTGACCCTCTTCCAGCGTGTGCCGTGCCCATCTCTCCGTGGATCGATCTGGAGCACGAGAGCGAGTCGATGACGACCATGGACGAGCTGGAACCCATGTGCAACTAGGCCGTGCTGGACAAGTGTGCCGACCTCTATCTTCCCTCGGGAGACAAGACAAGTCCTCTCCTCTCGGCTCTCAATGGCGATCTCACAGGTCTCCCACCACTATTCGTCCCCATTGAAGGCAACGAGACTCTCCTCGACGACGCGCGTGCCCTCGCACTCAAGGCCAAGGAGGCCAACGTCCCCGTCGAGCTGAAGATCTACGATCGTCAATTCCACGTCTTCCAGATCTTTGCGAGCAGGATGGCCGAGGCCCAGCGTGCGATAGACGACATAGGCCGGTTTGTTCTTAGTCATATTCCATAAAGTAGGGGTGTTTTTACAATATAGCAATAGATTTTTCCACGGCCTCAAGCTCTCACTGCAACATCAGCACATAATTACCTAGATACGAGACGATATGCGGTGATAAACTGTCCGCTTGTAGGTTGTGACGAGTCCGTGCTGGCTTGAACCACCTACCCAGACTGATCAATTGCTATGCCGGGGAATATGCCGACACGTCAAGTCACAGGCTAGGTATTCCGGCCGCCGCCCATATCTGTTGTTGACGATACTAGTCTACCTCGCTAGAAATCGAGACGAGGAGATTGAAAAGACGTGATCGATATATTGATATACTGACGAACAACCACTTTCCGTCAACGATGTAGGGGTTAACGACTCGACCTGCAGCTGATCGAGACTCAGCAACATCAAACTTTCTTCATAAGCGCGCCGATTCCTCTCGGCCTTTATTTGACTTCTCAGGCATATGGCATCGACTGATAAGCGCGGGTATTCGATAAGCAACCCGTACCACATGGCCTTGTGGTTTGATATGACTTTCGGGCCAATTATCCAAGCCATAGGGTCTGGCGTCTATGAAAGCCTTATATATAATCCGGACCCGATGGAAGAAACTACCATGGTCATTCCGGTCACTTTCACAGTCATCAATAGCTATTGGGATCGAACAATACCCAAAAGTATAGCACCTCGAATCTCGCAGCCATGTCGGGCAATCAAATCGAGCCACCCTTCAGTCAGGGTTTTGGCTATGGGTACATCATCGGTGTTGGTGCCCTCTTCGCCATAGGCATGTGTGTGGTATCCTGGGGGTTGAGCCACTTCTTTGCCGAAAAGCAGACGTCTGAGATGTTCATGACTGGCAAGAGATCGGTAAGTTGGTCAAGTCCTTGGGTTTATTCTCTCCTGCTGATCTCTCTATTCCCCAGGTCAAAATTGGCTTGACAGCTTCCGCTGTCGTCTCATCCTGGACGACGGCTGCTACCATGCTCACATCAACCACCGAGGGCTATCTGTTTGGCATATCCGGGCCTTTCTGGGTATAGAGCCACTTGGTCACCAATTCAATCTGAATTCCAGCTTACATTGTGTATTACTGTACGGCGCTGGAGCTTCGGTGCAAATTCTCCTCTTCTCGGTTGCTGTCATTGAGCTGAAGCGCAAAGCCCCAAACACGCACACGCTGTTGGAATTTGTGCCCACTCGCTATGGAGCTGCAGCACATTGCGTTCTGGGCTTCTACTCTCTCTTCTTTATCTGCGTCATGGGCATCAATCTCCTCGTGGGAGGCTCCGTCGTGTTCGCAACTCTTACGGGAATGAACCAAAATGCGGCGTGGTACTATATTCTCTGGCGGTAAGGAACACAAGTCTGCTGTTATCACGCTCCTATGACTGATGGGAATTCGGGAGGACTCAAAGCGACCTTTTTGGACCGAATGGGTAAGGACTCGACCTCTTTAGACGCCGGGTGTTTCCAGCATTCTGACCCCTTTTTTCACTCGTTCAGGTGCATACGGTGGTCATCTACATGATCATGTTGATGTCTCCTTTCGTGGTATACTCTACCTCGAAGGTGGTCGGCTCGCCCAGCGTCATGTTTGATCTCCTGACGGAAGCTGCGCAACTACATCCCGTGGGTGGCAACCAAGACGGGTCATATCTCACCATGAGAAGTGTCCAAGGAGGTTTCCTGGGCCTGATCTTCGCTGGAGCTGGGTTTGGAGGCAGCGTCGACCCTCAACTCGCCCAGAAAGCCATTGCCGCCAACCCAGCCAGCACCCTGATGGGCTATCTCTTCGGTGTTATCGCGTGGTTTTCCATTCCATTCTGTCTGGCCACGACTTACGGTCTTCTCGCCGCGGCGACCGAACATCTCCCTGCTTTTCCCACATATCCAAATCGGATGAACGCCTTCGAGGTTGCTTCTGGCATGGCAATGCCTTACGGTGCCATGGCGGTGATGGGTAACGGTGGTGCAGCTGCTATCCTGACCATGATCTTCATGGCGGTAACATCCTCCTTTTCCTCCGAGACCATGGCTGTCACTGCTTTCATGACATACGATGTCTATCAAGCCTACATCAACCACAAGGCCACCGGAAAGCAGCTCGTTCGGTTTGGCCATTTCATGGTGCCGGCTTCTGCTGTTTTTGCCGCGGCAATTGCAGTCGGATTGAACCATGCAGGGTTTAACGTCTCATTCATGTGAGTTTATCAGATGCTTGGTGGCTTGGGGGACCTTTGCAGCCTAACATTCTTCTAGTGTCACGGCCGTCGGTGTCTTTGTCGACGGTGCTTTCATTCCCATGGCCTGTTCGATTTTCTGGCGTAGACAAAACCTCCTCGCCGTCACACTTTCACCCATCATCTCGTCGATCGCGGGTATCCTCGCGTGGTTCTGGGTCGCACGACACGAATCGGGCCATATCTCCATTACCACGCTTTCAAGCAATCTCGCCCTCGTTGCTGGAAGCATGATGTCTCTCCTCGGGCTGGTCGTGCTGGTGTCGTTGTTCACCTTCATCAAGCCAGACAACTATGATTGGGAATTACTCAAAAAGATCAAACTGGCAGAAGACGCGCTCGATGTGAACCGCAGGGCTCGAATCCCCGCCACAGTTTCACGTCGAGGCAGAAGAGACCATGAGGAGTCCCTCGGAGGTCCAGCGCGAGGATGAACACGCCATGCTCCTTCGAGCAAGGCGGAATGCAATCTGGGCATCCATCGGCTTGACATTGGCCTACGTGCTCCTATGGCCTATTCCCATGTACGGTCCCCCCTTCGTTGGTTCTTGCCTAGCTCTCTCTGCAACAACGAGGACTTTGTAACTGACCAAGACGCAAATCACAGGTACGGTAGTCGCTATGTGCTCAGCAAGCACTTCTTCATCGGCTGGATCGTCGTGACCTTCCTCTGGGCCTTCTACGCATCGACCGTCATCACGTTGCTTCCGATATGGGAAGGACGGAGGAGCATCGCCGCATTCTGCCGGTTCCTCATCACGCCAAAGGCCAAGCGACTCGAAGCCACGGCCGAAATCGTCGAGAAACCCCAATCTCGGAATCAAAATCAGCAGTTGGTCAAGTGACGATGGTGGCGACCCATCCCGAGAAAGGGGCTTCGGCGCAGGACAGCGAAACCCTCGAACATTAAGCTGGACCACGATAAAATCAGACCGCTGATATGTATGCGTCCACGGTCGCTTTGATGACCGCAGATACGTACCAGTCTACAATCTTCGTGGTGGATGTATGGGGGAATGTCTCAGGGTATCGAATTCGACCTCAGCGGTGCGGATGCGACAATCCAGCCTCGAAGTGCCGAGATATGAGGTTGTCTAGGGTCGCGACACTCAGTCTCTGGTATCAGTTCTACCCAGCGATTTCTCTTTTGGCATCCCACCTATAGACCAGGAGCAGGACTCAAATCATGTAGCATCATCATGATCTTACATTCATAACAAGATGAAACGTTGATCTTGCGGTTCTCTGGATTGTCTGACGCTCGTTTTATGTATATCCCGAAATTTATCTGAGTGCAATTCTCCAATAATTGTCTTCGCTCTAGCAGCAGTCGTGGCAGCAGAAGCACAGTCGCCATACACCTGTATGCACCTGTATAGTAGAAATCAAACTCAAGATAGGATACGCTTCAAACAATAAAATGACTTGCTGATCTCGTAGAACATTTGTGCGTTTGTTTCCATCTCTTAGTTGATGATGGCATCTCTGTGGTCATGACGAGGCGGCGAGGCTGCGAGGCTGCGTACCCCAGAGATCTTATGCAGCATTCTGTGTGGGCGCGTCGCGACATTGGCGCAGTTTTGTACGCGCATCCAAACGGCCAGAGACCGTCCGGGGGTTTTTTGGATTCAGCAAAAAATCTCAAGGGTTCACAAGGAATCGTTTCATTTGTGTTCGCCTTCTCATGCTCCTGTCTTCTGTTCTCTTCCCCGCCGTCTGAACCTTTGTAAATCCACGCACCTTGAATAATCCGTGTGAATCATCTTGCGTCTGATGAAGACACCACCACCATGTCGACACTCACCACAACGACATTGAAATCTTCCTATCCGTACGAAATCCGACCCCACAGCCAATGAATTCCCAAGAACTAATCTATTCCCTCAAGGCCCATCCTCCCACCTCCATTCACGGCCAACCAACCACCGACGATCAGATTATATCCTCTGTCGAACTACACGTTTGGAACCAAAGAGACCCAACCAGAGGAAGACCCGTCGGTGGTGGCCAGGCTAAAGAGATTGGAAGAACACTATGAGAAATATGGCATGAGACGGACGTGTGAGGGCATCCTCGTCTGTCACGAACACAACCACCCGCACGTCCTCATGCTGCAGATTGCAAACGCCTTCTTCAAACTGTACGTCTTTTTTTTGGCGCAAAATTCCTGGTGGCCGTCTCGGTGTCATGTCAGCTTGATCACTGACTAACAAACGTCTTGGACCAGGCCTGGGGACTATCTTCCCCATGATGCGGATGAGATTGAAGGCTTCAAGCTGCGGCTGAACGAGAGGCTGGCACCCACGAATCCGAAAGAGGGGGACACGGAATGGGAAGTGGGAGACTGTCTCGCACAATGGTTTGCATCTCCCGCCCTGACGTCTCTCTTGATGAACGATTAATTCTAACATGACACTACCAGGTGGCGCCCGAACCACGAAACCTTTCTCTACCCATTTCTCCCCGCGCACGTCTCCCGGCCCAAAGAGCTCAAGAAACTCTACCTGATCCATCTCCCGCCCAACAAGGTGCTCAGCGTGCCCAAAAACATGAAACTGCTGGCCGTCCCCCTGTTCGAGCTGTACGATAATACCGCACGCTACGGGCCGCAGTTGAGCGCCATCCCGCACTACCTGTCGCGCTATCGGTTCGAGTATGTCGACGAGGAAGGGAATGTCGCGAGCGTCATGCCCGGCGGAGGCGCCCTACCGGGGCCGGACGGGAAATTTGAAGTAAAGGTCCTGAGCGACGGGGGGATAAAAGAGGAGAAGATGGAGAATGGCCATTGAGCGCCCAGTTGCACCTCAAAAGAGATGAACTCTACGATGATCCGAACGCATGACTGTCAGGCTCAATGACCACGCCATCTCGCACCACATTCGAAGATTGGACGCTCAAAACTTGCACGACAGGTGGTCCAATTGCTATGTCAAGCAACATACTGTAAATCCTACGGCAAGGAAGGACGCTTGCTGAGCTGTACGGCGGCAGTTTCAGGACTGGATAAGAGAGATTGCTCTTCCCACTTCATATCCGTAGGTGTGGGATGAAGATCGGAGGTCGCAGGCTGGGACTCAAGCTCCAGCAATTTAGAGGCGCAGGACACATGGTTCGCATAAGAATCAAAACGAGATAATCTGTGCCTCTGTCTCGCTTGAGAGCACGAGGCTGAGATCATGGTCCAGAAATGCGGAGAGAGGGAGCGAGAACCTTGCACCAATGCAGTTTCTGCTCACGTGCCTGGTTACGTTGCGCCAGGCGCCAATTGATGTGGCGGCCTCCCGCCACCCACTTCATTTTCTTTCCCTCCAAGTCTCCAAATCGCTTGGCGGACGAAATTGCGATATAGCAATCTGTCCGTTTGGCACTACCTTGCGGGAAAGAGGTCCTCTCCCCCCCAAAAGTTTGAACTTCTTCCCTGATATCTTAGTTCCAAGAAGATTCGTGCCCGTGATCACTTCTTTCTTTTTCTCTCCTCGTATCTCATCGCCCCTACGGCCTTTCAACCATGAATTTCATGAATCCTCAAGTGTAAAGAATCTCCCGCCTAGTTTGGAGCCCGAGGCCCGTGACTGACCAGTTTGCAGCACCAACCTGGTGATCATCCTTGGGATGATGCAGGTCTCGAAGCGGATACCTTTTGATGACCCTCAAGTTCTGATGGGCGTACGGATCCTCTACGTCGTGTCTAACTTGGTCATCTTCGGCCTCTACTACTATATCGGCCTGAAGATCAAGGCGAAGCGAGGTGCGCAAAAGAGACGAGTGCCGTGAGGGGCATACAGGCTGATGATTATATGGCAGACCTCACGACCCTGAAATACGTCGAGCCTGCGCCCATGGGCTCTGGAGAAGAGCCCAAGCTTGTCACCACCACGATCCAAGAATATGATCAAACCCAGCTGTCGGCAGCTTACAAGGGCCAGTTGATGGGCATCGGCATGATGGCATTCATGCACTTGTACCTCAAATATACCAACCCACTCCTCATCCAGTCCATTATCCCCGTGAAGGGCGCACTGGAGTCGAACTTGATCAAAGTTCACGTCTTCGGCAAGCCTGCGGTGGGTGAACTGAAGAGGCCGTGGAAAGCATCTGGAGGCATGATGGGTATGGGACAGGGCGAGACAAAGAGTGACAAAGCTAGCATCGAAGCTGCTGAGCGCGCCGGTCGGGGCGGAGCGAAGGAAGAATAGTCGTATCAGTCTTGAGTCGGATAAAAACCATGGCGCGCCAACCGGACTGAGGGAATAGATACGGTTTTGGTTCTAGCAAAGACATTAGAACAGCAAATCAATGCTCACCGTCTGCAAAGATGTTTGGCGGCCATCCCTTGCGTATGCGCTGTTTTTGCGATTTCATGAATATGCCATTCCCAAGCCGATTTGCTAGACCCTGGGAAAATATTTTGAGTTGCTCTTGTAAGCATCCTGCTCGATAGGCCAGTGGGTGGCCAGTCTGGACGAAAAGAGCGCGGCTGCGACGGAGGGTTTCACGGATCAATAGGATGATCCGAAGCGAGTGCCGCATAACCAGTAGGGACAAGACAGGCGATTGGATAAAACAAGCTCTGTTTGAATGCTGCTGCTTTTTCTCCATCAGAGCAGGTATGTGATAATCAGCGGTGGGTTGACTCATGCCTGATGCATATGCCACTGGAGCCTTTCTTTCTGGAGACCCTGTGATGTGCTTGAACAGGGGGTAAGGAGGATAGACCATCTTATAAATATCGGGGACCGTAGAGGTTTGGGGGGATGGTGAAGGAGCACCAGCATCTACAGATACAGCACGCTACCCCAGAAAGGCGCCGTTTATTTATCGTTCCTCGGGCGAAAAGACAAGTGAGAATTATCAGGTACTTAGGTAAGTCATCGCAATCATTTTCGTTTTGTGGCCTTCGGAAGGCTCGAGACAGACCGGAAGACGGTCATTTGTCGTCGGCCAAGAAAACCCATGGTTTGGAGGGCAGCTTTGCCCCTCAACGTCAACATCTGCCCCACCATTCTTCTTCACCTATCGCTCAACTCACCACTTGGTCCTCGCAGGGACAACAAAAAGCTTTCCTCATCCTCCCGTCACACCACTTTGCTCTTTCTTCGAGTTATATCAAGTTGCTCTTTCGACGACCTTTTGAATCCGGACATCCGAATACTCCTTTAAATTTCATGTGAGTTGTCCGCAGTCCTCCCCTTCAAGTGCTTTTGCTTCCTGTCTCGTCTTCACTTCACCGGGAGCTCCCATTGAGATTGTTCCTATCAAGGCTGACTTAGCAAATTCTGTAGTAGTCTTCACATCTTGACGAGACCATGGCTACTCTTGTCGGAATCAACGGCTTTGGCCGCATTGGCAGAATTGTGAGTCGCAGCTAGCACTGTCCGTGGTCGAAATGGCTAACAGCAAGCTAGGTCTTCAGAAATGCGTGAGTGTCACACCAGCACTTTCATCGGACTCCGAAATCTCCCCTCTCTCTAACCATAGCACTTTCCAGTATCGAGCACGACGATGTCCATGTTGTCGCCGTCAACGACCCCTTCATTGAGCCCAAATACGCTGTACGTACCCTCCATTATCCTGCCAGATCTCGAAACCCTTGTTGACACCTCTCAGGCATACATGCTCAAGTATGACAGCACCCACGGTGTCTTCAAGGGAACAATTGAGGTCCAGGGAGATGCTTTGATTGTCAATGGCAAGAAAGTCACATTCTACATGAAGAGAGATCCGGCCGAGATCCCGTGGGCGGAGACTGGTGCTCATTACATTGTTGAGTCGACCGGTGTTTTCACGACCACAGAAAAGGCCTCTGCCCACTTGAAGGGTGGTGCGAAGAAGGTCGTCATCTCTG